TAAATAGATCAGGAATGCTTCACATTATGGGAATGGACAAGATTTGAAATGAGGTGGAAATCTTTTTTTTTTTTTTTTTTTTGGCGGAGTTCGCTTTGTCACCAGTGGAGTTGCAGTTGGCCTGATCTCAGCTCACTGCAAGCTCCGCCTCCCGGGTTCCTGCCATTCTCCTGCCTCAGCCCTCGAGTAGGCTGGACTACAGCGCCTTGCACTCGTCGGTAGTTTTTGTTATTTTTTTTAGTAGAGGACGGGTTATCACCGTGTTAGGCGGATGGGTCTCGTCTCCTGAACCCTGTGTCCGCCCGTGCTCGGCCTCCAATGTGCGGATTACAGGTTGAGCCACGCGCCCCCGAAATGAGTGGGATCTAAGAACCTGGAAATATTTAAAATCTGGAATCTTAGATCCATCCATCTGGTATATCTTTAGAACCAGGGATCCCCTATCAATTGAACTAGGTTCTCTAAATCTTTTAAATCTTGGGACTACCTGAATCAGGGATTCAAAGAGTCAAAGCCAAGTCTGGCAATAATAGTTATATAAAGATAAGATGGGGAACCAAGATGACTGGAACACTTGTGTATTTCCAGGCACTGCTCTTTTTTTTCAGACAGAGTCTCACTCCTGTTGGCCAGGCTGGAGTGCATGATGGCAATCTCGGCCTACAGCAAGCTCGCCGGCCTCCCGGGTTTCACGCCATATTCCGCTTCAGCTCAAAGTGTGCGGGCTACAGGGGGCCGGTCGCACCCACACCCGGTATTTTTTGTATTTTTAGTCTAGAGGATGGGGTTTCACCTGTGTGCCGGATGGTCTGGGATCTCCTGACCTCGAGATCCCCCCGCCTTGGCCTCCCAAAGTGCTGGGATTACAGGCGTGAGCCACCACGCCCGGCCCAGGCACTGCTTTTAATACTTTACATAAATTAACTCATTTAATCCTCACAAGAACACCAGAAGTTACAAATAACTGTGATCCCTATCCTATAGATAGGAAACTGGGGTAGAGAAAAATAAAATAAGTTACCCAAGGTCACAAAGCTAATAAAGCTAGTAAATGGTAGAGCTGGAATTTGAACTTAGGGAGTGTGGTTCAAGTCTAAGTTCTTATTTTTGAGACAGGGTAGCTGGAGTGCAGTACTTCAGTCATGATTCACGGTAACCTTAATCCCCTGGGCCCAAGCGATCCTCAGCCTCTGGAGTAGCTGGGACCACAGGTATACGCCATCACACCTGGCTTTTTTTTTTTTTTTTTGGAAACGGAATCTCGCTCTGTCGCCCAGGCTGGAGTTCAGTGGTGCGATCTCGGCTCACTGCAACCTCCGCCTCCTGGGTTCAAGCGATTCTCCTGCATCATCTTCCCAAGTAGCTGGGACTACAGGCGCCTGCCACTACACCCAGCTAAATTTTTGTATTTTTTAGTAGAGATGGGGTTCCACCGTGTTGGCCAGGCTGGTCTCAAACTCCTGACCTCAAGTGATCCGCCCGCCTTGGCTTCCCAAAGTGCAGGGATTACAGGTGTGAGCCACCATGCCCGGCCAAGTCTGTTTTTAACTACCACTTCTCTGGTCCAGATTTCCCAAAATCTGACACACAGACCACAGGATAGGCAGGGGCGGAGGGCAAGATCATTTTCCGTGGCATGTAGAAGATCATAATTATGTATATGGCCTTGGCTTTGATGGAGGAGTGAGGAGGGCCATTGTGGGACTGGAGGAGGCTGGGGGAAGAGGAAGCCAGGGGGCGGGGAGGGGCCTCACCAGATGCCACGGGCGTCGGGCCAGTCACGGGCCATGCCTGAGGCTAGCAGCAGTGGGGACACGGGCTTGTCGAACAGGAAGTGGTCATCGATGAGCTGCTGCTGTTCCTTCTCCGTCATGCTCTTCAGAGGGTAGTACTTCCCTTTGAACTCGCCAGTCAGGCTGTTAAGAGCTATGGGGACACACGAGGGAGTGGTCGGCAGCCTGTCCCACTTCAACCAGGGCGTGGAGGCCCAGGGTTCCCCCTGCTGCTGCTCCTAATGGGCCTGGGCCTTGGCCCCCTGGATGTCCTAAAGGCATCTGAACCCTGTGTCTAAACCCACACTTGTGACGGTTCCCCAAAATCTGTTCCTGCCATCTGTCCAGGCCCCCAGGAATGGCCACACGATGTGCTCAATCTAGAAAACAGACCCACCCCTTCCCCTGAGGGACCCTCACATCCAGTCCACCTGCAGGCCACAGTGTGCTGGTGTCTGCTCCTAATGGCTGGCCAGACAGATGGCTGAAGTCTCAGGACTTTGAGAGGCCATTAGTAAAAATTATTATAAGGTAGAATGGTAGCCAGGTGCACTGGCACGAGCCTGTAGTCCCAGATACTGGGGAGGCTGAGGCAGGAGGATCACTTAAGCCAGGAGGTCAGCCTGGGTAACATAGCAAGACCCCCCATCTTTTTTTTTTTTTTTTTTTTGAGATAGAGTTTTGCTCTTGTTGCCCAGGCTGGAGTGCAATGGTGCGATCTTGGCTCACTGCAACCTCTGCCTCCCAGGTTCAAGCTAGTCTCCTGCCTCAGCCTCCCAAAGTGCTGGGATTACAGGTGTGAGCCACTGTGCCCGGCCTCTTTTCATTTGTTTTTGAGGCAGGTTCTCACTCTGTCACCCAGGCTGGAGTGCAGTGGCACAGTCACGGTTCACTGCAGCCTCAACCTTCCAGGCTTAAGCGATCCTCCCACCTCAGTCTCCTGAGTAGCTGGGATGACAGGTGTGTGTCACCACTCGTGGCTCATTTTTGTGTTTTTTTGTAGAGACACGGTCTTGCTATGCGGCCCAGTCTGGTCTTAAACTCCTAGGCTCAAGCGATCCCCCCTCCTAGGCCTCCCACACTGCTGTGATTACTGTTGTGAGCCACTGTGCCCGGCCTCAACTCCTCCTTTCTGAGGCAGCTCCCCTCGGTCATTCTCCACCACACCCATGTCTTGGCTTCATGGCACTTTTGAATTATCTTGTTCATCTGTGGGTTTCTGTATTTCCTCTCATCTCCCCACCAGCTGAACACTCTATGAGAACAGTGAGGGACCCCCATCTCCCCACACAGGGCAAGAACCCCTGGAAATGTGTGCTGGATGAACGGATGGCAGGACGCTGGGGGCAGCCGGGTGTCTGTGTGGGTCTTCTCAGGGGCCCTTGAGTCTGGACAGCACCCCCGGATCTCCAGCACAGCAGGTAATGCCCACGGCCAGCACCACTCCCCAAGCCCCTACGATTTACCAAGCTCTTCCCCTACTTTGGAAAACGGGGGCCCAAAGAGACCCGAGGACCTGCCCATGGAGGAACAGAGACAGGGCTGGGTGACCCCAGCAGTGGACGGGGTGGGGGCACTCACCTTCCACGGAGAGCTTCTCCACCGCCCGGCGCTCACCACGGGAGCAGTGCGGGGGCAGCGTGTAGCCCTTGATGCTGCGGCCGGTGCGGACGCGGCTGCTGAGCACATAGTGGGGGTCCAGGTCGTCTCCACCCTGGAGAGCGGGTGGGAGATCAGGACCAGGTAGATCCTCCGCCCCCTCCAGCAAGCCCAGGTCTCCCCCAGATGCTCCCCTCAGTCTCCCTGTTGCTTCCTTTGCCCTCTGCTTCCTCACTGATTGGTTATGCAGAGCCTCTCCCCGCCACCCATACCTGCGCTCTGTCTCTCCCTTCTCTGTCTCTCTCCCATCTCCTATCTCTGTTTTTCTTTATACCTCTCTCCCCC